ACAGTCGTGTCAGTTCAAGCTCTCTGGAGTAATGAGAAACTCACGACTCGCACAAGCTTAACACCCATCACTCGACTCTGCCCCTAACGGTCAGGAGTAGCATTGCACACTTTTCACTTTTTTTCTTTTAAAAGGAATCAAATTTAGAATAAAACCCTTCTGAATGTTTTTTTTTCTTTAAAATAACACAATAACATCAAAATGAAAAAAATAATTTTGAATATATTTAACATACAATTTCAACATTTTTGTGATTGTCACATTGACACTCAAAAGTGTGTGAATTAGAGGGAATGGATAAACCTTTTTTATATTTTGAGTTATGTTTTATTATTAAAGGGGGGGGGGGTTGATTGCGATTTCACTTTTTTCATTTTAAATAGTGTGTAATGTTCCTGTTGGTGCATGAACAGTATCTGCAAAGTTGCAGTGCTGAAAGTTCAGTGTAAGCGTCTTTTAAAAATCAGGAAGTATATTGCCTACAAAAATGACTCGATTGGGACTACAGCTGGGTTTCAGACATCACTAACCCACACATTTACATCAATCACTCCCTCCGGAATATGCAGGAAAGGGCATGCGCATATTTCTGCGTCTCGACGAGTGTGTTGTTCACGCAGCTGTCAGGTCTTCTGTGTTCGAGTATCCCACGGATGCTGTACTTCGTCAACAATGGATACAATTTATGTTTGATTATGTTCCTGAAAATGACGATCGTAATCTAGCTCTCTGTGCTGCGCATTTTACGGAAGACAGCTTCCAGTATCTGCACGAGTTCAACACCGGATTCAACAAGAAACTGTCACTAAAACATGAAGCAGTTCCAACTTTAAAACCAGAGGCAGCAGTTGTTGGGGCACAACCTGTAAGTAGGCTAAGACTTCATCATTTTAAATGTATTTGCATGTATAATTCCAGATGTAGCCTTGTGTTTAATTTTTTTCTGGCTTTATAGCCATTAGGCTACTAGTTATGCTATTTTGTGTCTACGACAAACGCGTACAAACATTATGGACCTGAATTTTGTATAAGTACTAATGTTTTAAACATATTTTTTCATGTATATGCTTTATGACGTTATTTTCGATTTGATCAAGAACGTAATCTAATGCCAAAGCTGATTGAGTATAACATTAGTAGCCAGTCAGTTGCTATTGTTGCCAGTCAGATGCTATTGTGTTAAACAAACGTGTATAAAGTTAAAAAATGTAGCAAATTATCATTCAGTAACGTTTAGTAAGAGCCGTGTGTGGTGAGGTTCTGTTTGACTCGCTTCATCGCGGCTTTCTCGGTCTGATTCTGCCTCAAACTGATACTGTAGTATCGACTACATGGGCGTTAACCTTCCGGACAACGTGAGCGACAGTTTAGCCAATCACAACTCACCGGCCCAAACTAACCAATCTGAGCCCACTACGTGTTTCTGAGGGAGTGGTTTCATAGAATTAGGAAGTCAACAGGTCGTTCAGGAGACAGAGGAGAACGCGGCTTACAATAAAGGTGCAGTTTATGAAAAATAAGACTTTTTTAAAAAGAAAAAACACGAATATATGATATATAACACCCCATAAACACAATCATGCAAAGAAAAAAAGCAGTCAACCCTTTAAAAACCACTAACACAGCACACTTGTTACTGCACTAGCATTATATCACAGTATTACAAATGTTTAAAATAATCGATTTACAGTTATCACAACAACCTTGATATTATCCCTATACTCTTCTGCACAAGGGTAAAGATCAAAACATAATAGAAACTCTTTTGAATGTCAAACATAACTGAACATTAAACATTGACAGATGTTTTCCTTTCCCATCAGAAATGCTCGCACAATATTTTCTATACACTGAACCACATTTTTCATATTTTTAATTGTCACCTTCATTTTTTAATGAAAATTACAAGACCCACGAATCATGTTATACAGCGTTCCCTTGTGTGGTGTGACAGCATTCTTCTACATTCAAATTCGTTTTCATTTATGTAACTTTGTTTTGTTCTGCTTCAGTGTTGTGTAATCACATCGTGTTTCTAAGGAAGGAAATAAAAAAAGGTAGAAATCCCAAGGTGCTAAAATAATCTCTACCTGCTTTATATAACTTTCACATTGTATAACTTGAAAGTAAGACGTGTCTAATGAAGCAAACCTGATCAAATATTCATTAAAAATGATTACTGTGATTATTTACCACAACTTAAAACTCAACATTAGAATAAGAAATAATGCGTTGTTTCAACTTACAGCATTCAACATGTGCTTGTGCTTGACTTAAAATATTAAGTGCTGTTAACTTCAGTTTAGTTTGATTAAATTGGATATTTCAGTTATCTCAACAAATTGTAAGTTGTTATAACTACTTGCAAGCAACATTTTTTTTTTTTCCAGTGTATCAATCACTTGTTGGGCAAGTACTGTTCTCAGACACATGGTCACGATATTATACTTCTGTTTAAGACATTTATAAAATCCAGAATTGTTTTAGATGCTTGGATTATTCATTTTAATATGCCAAAGCATGAAGAAGCTACAATCTCACTTCCCAACTGAGGAGACTAATAAGGATAAAGAGGTTTAAACAATGATCGGACAGATTTTGAAGTGAAAAGATACAATTTGTGGGTTTATTATTCAATAATACCATGAATTGGAGGTTCCACTTCATTTCTATTGTATACTTTATACAGTCTACTAACTACAAGTAACTACATGTCAACTAACTGACATTACAGTATTAGTAGACTGTTAGGTTATGGTTAGGTGTTAGGGTTTGGGATAGTAGAATAAGTTGTCTTGTATTTGTTAAGTTACTTATAGTCTGTTGGGGGAGCATCAAAATAAAGTGGATGACATGTAGTTGCAAAGAGACTTATAGTTAGTAGAATGTCTAAATTGGACTATCGAAATAAAGTGTTGCCGAATTAAATGCACTTTCAGACATCTACACTATGCATTAAAACCTATTGGCTGACAAGTGTGAAATCATTCTTTCGGTCATTATGACCAATCTCCAATCAAAATATGAGCAATTAAATATGTAAATATGCATATGTCTGTATAAGTCATACAATAGATGTACGGTAAGGAAGTGTTGTATTCTGACGTAATGTGTGCGAGAAAATGAATTCCAAAATGAATGTGAAAATGAAAATGAATTTCACCAAAATGAATTCCAGGCGATGTGGGTCGTTCTGGCAACAATAAAGACTTGAACTTGAACTTGAGAATGGAAGTGATGAGAAAACAAAATGGATGAAGTTCGCTAATTCTGTCTAATGTGCTTCATTGCTTACTAACTCCGGAGAGTTACACATTTACCTTTCAGATGAATCTCTTTTACGGGCTTGGTCTGTCATCAGTTATTCAATTATTAAACTGAACTGTCAACAAAACTTTGGTCACACGTATATTAGGTGGACTAATACTAACATTAAATACAAAACTGTTACTGTGTAACTACATGTTATTCTGGAAAATTCCCTCATTTATTGGTAATGAGTTTGAGCATTAAAAATAAAACTCACATAAAAGTCCTTTTAGGCAAGTCCTGCCACTCGGCCGCCATCTTGGCAATGGTGGGGCAGCTATTTCGGACTAACAAGACCAGGCTCCTATCTAAATGAATGGGCAGAGAGTCAGAACGGCACTTTGACTGGTCACCGGGACATAAAAACTGCATGTATAGAAACAGCAGTAAAATATGATAAAAATCGCTGAAAAAGTTTGATGACTTTGCCCCAAAATAAGGTTTAAAATGCCCTTTTCCCCACAGGTTACACTTTTACTACGCATACACAAGGGTTCTCATCTCCACTGTCCCAGACATAACTGTGTGCATGCGTCAGTGGAACCAGACGATTGGCTGAAATGTTCCCATGCTTGACTGTTAAAAGCAGACGATTGGCTTTCCAGCAGGAGGGGCGGGGCATGTATAAAATATGCCAGCAGTCATATCACCCTGTAGCCCAAGACTGGTTGCCCACTGAAGCTAAGCAGGGCTGAGCCTGGTTAACGTCCTAACGTTAACAGTATAGTAATGGGGATACTATACTGTCAAAGAGCACAGTCCTTCGAATGAGACGTAAAACCGAGGCCCTGACTCTCTGTGGTCACAAAAAATCCCAGTATGTCTTTCGAAAGAGTAGGGGTGGAACCCCGGCATCCTGGCCAAATTTGCCCTGTGGCCTGTACATGATGGCCTCCTAATAATCTCCATATATATATATTCCAATTGGGTTCATCACTCTATCTCCTCTCCACCAGTAAGCTGGTGTGTGTTCTGACAAAATATGGCTGCCGTCGCATCATCCAGGTGGATGCTGCATACTAGTGGTGGTTGAGGAGATTCCCCCCTGTAAAGCGCTTTGAGTGCCGAGAAAAGTGCTATATAAATGTAATGAATTATTATTATTATTATGTGCATACAACCGCCATCTTTGGCGTTACAGGTTTTCCCCATATAGTTGTATTGAGGATTTAGGAAGTGGCATGTCTATAAATTGTCTCTGGTTTGAGGCATGGTTGGGTCTAGGAGTCACCCACATTTGTGAGCTGTTGTTAAACAGATTAGCCTGACTACTTAACCTGACCACTGTTACACCCTTAACATGACTACTAAGATCTGTCCAAATCATTGCCAAATTTCTCAACATTTTACTAAGCATTCTGTGGCTGCCATTGACTCATTGCCTTCATTGCTTGACCCCAAGGCTGTATACAAGAAGTTTTCAGAAGAATCCCACCTCATGCCCACACTGCTCAAACACAGTTGACAATTTTCAAAAATATTTTATACAATATATTGCAGAAATAAAACATCATATTGACAAATGCATAAAATATACAATTTTACATTTTGATATTTAAAAAATAAAAAAATAAATAATTAGAAAATGGTTTAGAATAGTAAGATAATGAGAACCTCACATAAATTAACAACACATCAATGTTATCTACTTACAAAATTGAGGCCTATTATTACCTATTTTATTAAATTCATATAATTACCGTAATTCTAAATATAATCCTAATGTAATGTCATTGTTTCCTGACCCATTTGTCCGAATCATCTGTTGTCATCCCATTAAAAGGTTGTACTGTGCAATTCAAAATGGACAGATTCAACAAATTCGGTGTTTGGCAGTCTCTATAGAGAATCGTCCGCCTCCTCCTCCTGATGATCCTGTTGGCTGAGGTCCAGAGAGCTTTGTGAGCTGGCAGGGGTCACATGTCCAAACCCAGAGTCTGTTTTAGTATCTGACAAGTCTGTCTGAGAGACTGAGAGATCTCTGTGGAGGTCTGCGATATCCGTCTCGAAAGCTGCATTCAGTTCACCATGCACATGCTTCTTCTGGATCCCCTCAAAGATCTGAAGAACCTTCAGAAAAATCACAACACAGATTTTCGGTTAACGCCACATAGCTGCATAAGTCTGTGAATAGTAGGACATCCATGCTAGAATGATCACGAGTTACCTTAGATTTAGGAATAAGACCGACACGGAAAAATCCAATCTGGCCACTCTCGATTTTGGTGCAGTCTACCACTGTGGAAGCGATATTCTCTGGTGACGGTCCATCACACAGCACCCCATCTACCTGCAGGATTTGGGCCAATGACATTTTAATCTTTTAGTCATATGAATTTTCAAAAAAAGAAAGAAAACCACTAGGGCTGTGAATCTTTGGGTAGACAGCGAATCGATTCGATTCACGATTCATAGGTTTTCGATTCGATTCATGAACGATTTGTGCAAATTCAGAACGATTCGATTCGATGCGATTCACATCCAAATTCGATGCGATTCGATTAATTCGATTCGATTCTTAATTTTTTATATGCATTATAGTATTATTTCAATGCTTCACCCAATGGGTCTTTGTCTGGGTTTGAATTAGCCTACACAGCGGCCTTCGGGGGTCAGATAGTGGGGATTTTGTCCATTGTTAATGTTAGTTCATGTTTGTTTTTAATTTTAATGAATATATTATTATAAAAAAAAATTCAATGGCCTACAAATTAGCATTTGCAAGTAGCAAATATTTTAAAAAAAAGGCTTTTAAAGTATTGCATTCAATGACTACATGCACAAATTAATGGAGACGTTTTCATTAGTTTCATTTTGCGTCCTCTCAGTGCACTCGTTATCATCTTTTCACTGGATTTTGCTCGCGCTCGGTCCCATAGCTCTCATGCTTTCATAACGTTAACTACAGATTTTTGAGCAGTCCATGTTTGAGCTCGATCTCCAGCTGAGCTCTCTGTCGAGAAAGCAATAGTTTTGAGGCAAACCGCTCAAGCCATTGATAAAGCTGCCATGCCATTGCGTGGGCACTATGAAATAAAACGCTTTTATTCATTTATTACATGGACTCTCCGTACACGCAAGGTGGTCTCTCGCTCGCTTTCCCTCTCTGCCGAGTGCGTGCAGCCGTGTGTGAACGCGCGATACGCGGTTTGGAGCACAACCTCTGTCTCGTATGCACGCTCGCTCTAGATTCCGGGAGATTTTAACTAATTTGCGGTAATACAAGCTGATCACGACATGAGTAGCTCAACAGGTAGAAAGATAAACTCATCTTTCAGGCATTTGACCGACCGGGCTTCAGCGTGAGAAATCAGGGGTGTGTGAGCGCCTGAAACCAATCAAATGCGGATGTCGTATGACGGCCAATGCGTGAGGCAGCTTGTACCAGGAACACTTTAAGGTTGTGTTTATATATTTTAAACCACTGAATCGCTATAAAATCGTGATTAATTCGATTCTTAGCCTTTTAAATCGATTATTCACGTAAATAAACGATTCACGATTCAAAATACATGTTTCAGGATCGATGCATATGCATCGCCAGGATTTATAATCGATGCATCGAGAAAACGAGTGAATCGTTACACCCCTAAAAACCACCTTTGTACCTTGTCCCCAAGTTTTGCATAAACTTGGTTATGATGTGTAGTATCTGCCTCACCAGTAGGATTAGCAGATGTGACCGCAATGGGACCCACCTAGTCAAACAGGAACGCATGGTTTATACTATGATAAAGTCCAACATTTCCATGAGAAAACAATTACAACACATACCGCATTTATGAGGTGTGTAGCGACAGCGCAGTCTGGGTTTCGAATGGCTATGCTCTGTGGTGTTCCAATATATTTTGATGATTCGCCCAATCCAAAGAACTCCATCCATGGAGCTAAGATTAAACAGTGATGTTTGGATTTAATGTTACATCATTTGGTACACATGTCAGGTCCTAATGTCTAATATCACATCACCCACCTCTTGCTATAACCAGGCTAATGGAAGATGGCCAAGCAGCTTCCATAAAGTCCCAGAGAACAGGGCTGATCTGTTGTTTGACTGGCTCCAGCTGCTTTATGGATGAAATCCACAAGGACATGGGACGTTCTTTAGCCTGTTTCTTTACACTATAGAGGTGTGATTACATGGTTAGAGACACTAATGGAGGAACAGAAACCAAAAGTGGTTATTCTTACTGTACATTTAGGCTTACCTATATGCCTTTTCAACAGCCTGCGGGCGATTGCAAGCTGCAACAAGTACATAGACCGTGTCTGTGGGCATTCCACATATGCCCCCGTTCTTCATGATCTCTGTCATAATAGAAAGAAAAAGTCTATAGACACATACAAACTCATGTAAATGCAAATGATTTGCCAATAATAGACCTTAGTCAGGGTAGTGCCATATTTAGTGAAGTGAAGACCAAGTATGGTAACCCATACTCATAATTTGTCCTCTGCATTTAGCCCATCCAAGTCAGTGCACACACATTAGGAGCAGTGAGTAGTGAATATACATGTAGCAAACCGTGGACACACACACCGAGAGTAGTAGGTGCCCAGGGAGCGATTGGGGGTTTGGTGCCTTACTCAAGGGCACCTCAGTCATTTCCAGCCGGTATTGAAAATCGAGCCCACGACCTTCGGGTTACCAGTCTGACTTTCTAACCATTAGGCCACGAAGGCTTGGTTAGAGGGGATGCCATTGTAAAGAGTCTATCCCTCATAGCTTCGTTTTCATTTGTGTACAATATGGCATCTTCCCTGACTAAGGTCAATTTATACTTCTGCGTCGAGGGTATGCCGTAGTATACATCGTAAGCTACACACGTAGGCAACGCTGTTGTGAGCATTTATACTTCTGCGTTCAAGTCTTGGTTGCTCTGCAGTACTGCTCCGAAACGCAAGTTGGCGGCAGAGGGTTTTAATGTTCCACTGTGCTTAGATTCCTCGCAGCTAGGTTACAACAAGCAATGGCGACTGAAAGAGAGCAGATCATGTTGGAGTTGGAGCTTATTGAGATGGAAAAACAGTTAATTTTAGTGAAATTACTAAAACTAAAAGGCAGAAATGAGAGAAGACGTCGGCGGAGATGGTACGTGCGGAAATGTGTGAAATGGTACGTGCGGAAATGCAGGAAATACGATACTACCAAGCCGATCAATCACAGATCTTGCGGTCCGCGTCGTCGCGACGTGTAGTTACATTTTTGAGGAGGTGCGCGTCAGTCTACGGTGAAGGGTACGCGCACTGTGTGTGTGCTACGCCGTACCTACTGCGCGCCCCCTACGCAGAAGTATAAATTGGCCTTAAGGCTATACACTTTTTCGATAGTGGCTCACCTGCAATCTGCTGAACAGATGTGGACCTCCTGGCTGTAAGATGAGGGCAACTATCTTTGCCTCCTCCAAAGCCACTCAACTTGATGAAAGGATCACCGAATGGCAGTTGTGGACTTTTAAAGGTGGAGTTGAAAATGCTGGCCAGGAAAATGTAGAAGCTGACGAGCCCAACAATGATGGTCACACCAATATCGTAGCCGTAGGGCAGTACGCCTACTGCATCCAGTAAGAAGCTAATGAGGATGAGTTGGAAGGTGAAGGTATAGACGAACCAAGCCTTGTTGAGAAACAGAGCCCCAGCGGTCACTAATACATTGAAGATCATGAAACTGATGATTCCCACAGCTAGGTGGAGGCCACGCACATCTCCATAGAGGCCGCCAAAGCGTGTCAGTCCCCACACGGTCCACATGATGCCGTAAAGAATGAAAGTCGTGCTCTCTAGAGTCTTTCCCCGAGCAAAGGCAACAAAACCACATATTAGTTGTAGCACACCACCTGAAACCACTGCCCAAGGTAGGATGAGAATGCCCAAGGGGTTTCCACTTGAAAGTGAGGCTGTAATTGAAAAGGCAGCCAGGACACTGCAACCATGGCCCAACACCTCAGCGTCTGCATACTTAGAGTAGCCCAGATAGGGAGCATGTAGATCTTTGTCATGGGTTTGTAAAACAAATTTATTACTGCGGCTCAACAGGTTCTTAAGGAACCCGGCACCTGTGGGTATCTTGTTTAGGGAAACCATGTTATAAAGGGTTATAAAGAGCACAAAAGCAGACATAACAAAGATGGCAGCCTGTACACCTTGTGTTCCTTTCTGAGAGAAGCTCTGGGGTTCGGATGCAATTGCTATACAGTATGCCACAAAGAACAGTTGGTAGATAGTGTTCACAAATCCTCCCTGCAAGCTAAACAAAGCCAGGATGAAAAACAACACAGAGAATACAGCTGGAAAAGGCACTGGGGAGTAGGGTACATGGTTTGTTAAGTGCTCAACCAGCACAGTGTACCCTTCAGTGAAGCGTAGAATCGATGTGAAGCCATAGAAAGTGGCCGCCAGGGTGTCCATAGATCTATAGCTCTTAACACACACACCCAGCTGAAAGACACCTGCGGTCCACAGCCATGGCACATGCCCAGAGAAAAGCTCAGGCACAACACCAAGCAGAGGACAAGCTAGCACGCTAGCTGACAGCAGGTTCATGATTATACCAACGGTCACGACATCATTAGCTTCTTTATTCTGTAACGGTTTCAAGCTCTCTTTCTTGAATGTTCCGGGTAGCTGAATCTTTCTTTGCGTAATGTAAGACAACAAACGGCCACTGCCAAAGTAAGCGCCCACTAAGCAGACCATGAGGTAGCAGACAGCGGTGGCTGTCTGCCCGAAAGCCAAATCTGCCAAACCAGCAATCTGGTGGGCACATGCTAAACCTATGGCCAGGGCAATGAATGAGAGGACAACCTCATGACATATAACAGCCACAATGCAAATTACAAGAAGTGCCAGAGCGAAAGCTGCAAGACCTGGCACCATAGCATCTCTAAGCTCCTTTCTGCCATTTATTATCTTTTCACCTGAAAGTATGTGCACTAAACCTGAACCACACCACAGGGCGGACACTGTCAAGCACAAACTACCAAAAAGTGCATTGTGGGACTGGTTGCGCCGTACACCTATATGAAAGGACAGTGAGATGGAGAATGATTGAAGGAGAGGGAGAGAGAGAAAGAGAGAGAGAGAGATTTACATGAGCTGATAAAAAAAATATATATCTTTTATATTTTTTACATTTTGTGCTATTACAACTAAATTAGCGGATGTATTAATTTCCTATAATAACACTGGCTGATGCATTATCATCCTGCACGTTACAAACAATATATATAACAAATGTGTTGCTTATGTTTAAAGGAGTAGTTCACTTTAAAAAAAAATGCTGATAATTTACTCACCCCCATGTCATCCAAGATGTCCATGTCTTTCTTTCTTCAGTCAAAAAGAAATTAAGGATTTTGATGAAAACATTCCAGGATTTTCTCCATATAATGGACTTCAGTGGGAACCAAACGGTTCAAGGTCCAAAAGACAGTTTCAGTGCAAACTGTTCAAAGGGCTTCAAACGATTCCAGACGATGAATAAGGGTCTTATCAAGCGAAACAATCGCTAATTTCAAAAATAAATAACAAAGTTTACGTTTTATAAGCTCAAATGGTCGCCTTGCTCTGTTCTGTGATGCACGTTTGTAACTCTTGTTCAAACTCGTTCATCAAAATGAACGAATCTTTTTTCTAGTCATTTGGTTCATTCAACGAATGAAATGAACGGGTTGACTTGGGAAAAGTTTCATTCATTTTGATGATTGAGTTCGAACAGGAGAGTCACAAACGTGCATCACAGAACAGAGCAAGTTTTTTTTTTTTAAATGAGAGATCGTTTCGCTTGATAAGACCCTTATTCATCGTCTGAAATCGTTTAAAGCCCTTTGAACAGTTTGCATTGAAACTGTCTTTTGGACCTTGAACCGTTTGGTTCCCATTGAAGTCCATTAAATGGAGAAAAATCCTGGTATATTTTCATCAAAAACCTTAATTTCTTTTCAACTGAAGAAAGAAAGACATGGATATCTTGGATGACATGGGGGGTGAGTAAATTATCAGCACATTTTTTTTTTTTTTTTTTTTTTAAGTAAACTACTCCTTTAAGTAAAAAAAAGGTAAGAAGTGCATTACAAATGTCTCCATTTGACAAAATAAAATAAAATAAACTAACTTGTGATTAACTTGAAGCATGTAAGTAATTAGTTAAAAAAATGTCAAAGTGATTCATATTTCTGTGAACAATATATTACCTGAATAAGCCAGCAGAGCCGCAATGATGAGGAGCAGAACTCCTAAAGCTGTGTCTGTGATCAGAGGTCTGTCTGGAGAGCTTGCATAGTTGTTCACCAGAAGCAACAAAGAACCTAATAATAAGACACTATTATTACTGGCAAAAAAAAAAAAAAAAAAAAAAACCCACAGTAGTCACAGTAGGCTACACGTTAACTTTGACCTCTACTTAAAAAAAAAAAACATAATAAATTGCCTAAATCACAAGGATAATAGGCTATATAGCGCATTACTTATCATTAAACATTTAAAAAGATTAAAAATGCAATAAGCCTAAATCGCAAATAAAATGTTTAAATTCGAAACACATTTCTTTTAATAGCCTATCACTTTTGTTTGATTAATAAAACAAAACACTTTTTTACCATTCGAGATTAAAAACAGCGATAATCAAGCTAATGCATAATTTGTAAGATCTAAAATCTCATAAAACGTTTTTCTATTTTCTGCACATAGCCTACCTCCAGAAACTCCCAGAACTCCGATGGATAAGTGCAACGATTCAGACTCCGTCATCCTTCTTCACAGTTCACTCACACACACACGCTCTCACACGCACTGAGCTTTATACAGTAGCCTACACACAGTGACGACGTACACGATGATGTCAGAAAAGCACTTACATAAGATTGATTTCCTTCTTCCCTGAAGTTTCCTCAACACTGATGGGAATACATTACAATCCGTCGAATATAAAACAAAAGTATTAAAAATGGCTTAAATCTCCTTTGAGCTTTCCTCTCTTTCTTGCTGATTTTGACCCCTTTTTTTCGTCCCTTAGACTTATAAATAACAAGAAAAGTGAACATTTTTTGATGTATTTTGATGATTTATTCAAAGACATGACTTGGCCTTAAAATTATGCTTTTCTTTTTTTTTTTTTTTTTAATGTATTACATATTTTGATGTATGCATACCCAGGATGCTTATTTTCTGTTAGGTACTAGCCTATTGTTTGTTTGTTTGTACACCTTGAATTACTTCCCTGTGTTGGTATTTTTGTTCTGCAATAAAAAAAAATAAAAAAAAAAATAAAAAAAATAAAAATAAAACAAAAGTATGTCGTTTCAATTGTTTAACTTTTTAACCATTGGTTCTTCAAATAGACCCACCCTAATTCGAACCTTATTATTATTAACTTCTTTTGTCAAATCTGGATGTAGATACAAATGCATTTATTTTAAAGAAAAATAGCACAAACACACTTTTCAAAATTATTTTACAGAAGTGTTACATTCAGATTAATATTTATTTAAAGCTAATAATGAAGATTACGAAAAGGTAATGGAGCATTTTTACATAATTAATGTGAATACTATGCATTATCCAGGGAATATCTGTGACAACAAATAGAAAAGTCGCGAATAGAAATAAATAAATAAATAAATAAATAACACCAGCGTTTATATATATATTAAATAAATTTATATTTATATTTTATTTTATATAAAAACACATTTATAATAAAAAACATTTATAATAAACTAAATATTTTTACTAATATGTTAATACACTGTTTTATATCCTTATAGCCTGCAGGTCTCCAAATCACATCCTGTCAATAAAGCTACATGAAACAGTGCAGTTAATATGGCACCAATGTAAATACAGGTGAGCTCAGAAAGAAATGTAGGCATGACTAAGCACTGTCTGAATGGACAAACAGACAATAGCTTTATATTTCCTTCCAGGAAGCTCCGACAGTTTGTTTAACACGCCTTGTGGGAGGGACCGTAACCTTCAGTAATATAAGCAGTCAGCCCGTCTGTTCGTCTGTGTGTTCTTCGAAACATTCAGAAAGGCAACACACTTCACTGAAAAGACAACTCTTTTAACAAGGTATGTTAAATCAGTGGATTTACTCAACTGCAATTCTGCATTTACTGAAAGCTTTAAGTTTCACTCGGAAACTTCTATGTTTTAATGTTGTTGTTTAATGGTACTATTAATATTATTCTCACTATTACTCTTATTGTAACCAACATTTACAGTATGTGTATAATAAAACCAACAAGAAATAGTTTTCAGCACTTGTTTACTTTAACTCTGAAGTGTGTTACCTTGGCGGCTAAACTCTCTAGGGGTGTTGCTAGCCATTTAAATAATTAATTCTGCAAGTGTGTGTGTAACTGGCATTTGTTGTGTACTTCTGATTTCTCGTCTTACTGTGATGAACCTTCACATTGTGTTCAAATGAATACACTTACATAATTGAACGTTGATTTCCTTTTTTGTTTGTAGTTTAACAAGATGGCAAAGCGTGTGGCTGTTATTCTGTCAGGATGTGGTGTGTATGATGGCACAGAGGTCCATGAGGCGTCTGCTGTAATGGTACACCTCAGTAGAGCAGGTGCCAAGGTAAACACACACCCACACAAAGCAACACAATCTTAACAACTTTCCTTTAATTCAATCTGGAATACATTTGAAATGAAGAAAAGTTTTTGTCCTCAGTTGGCTTTAACGCAGCTCACTTTGTGGTGCAGGTTCAGATGTTTGCTCCTGATATTGAGATGATGCATGTGGTGAATCACTGTGAAGGAAAGCCTGGGACAGACAAGAGGAACGTGCTTCAGGAGAGCGCCCGCATCGCCCGGGGGGACATCAGTGACCTGGCCAAGCTCGAGGTCACCGCCTTTGATGCTCTCGTCATCCCAGGTAATCGAAACATCTGTGGCATCTGGCATCATACAAATGCATTACTATATATTACATAACTAATATACACAATAGGGGCTTTCGCACCGTAGGAACCTTTTCATATTTCCTTGATCTATTGGCGGAAGTACGCGGATTTTGGCGCGTTCCCAACACAGGAACTAGGAACGATTTCAGTTCTAGGATCTCCTTTTGGACAAACTAATATATCTCCTACTTCAGAGCCGGTCTAAACCAGCACTATAGGAACTACCAGTGACGTTGGAGTTCGCTGATTGGCCGAACGCACGCAAAACACCCGCCATTTTATAAAAAGGTGTGTGCACACAGATTATAGCCTGTACATTTACTCTTCAAACTAACTCTACGGACACGGAAACCAGTGATAGATGAAGCTCTTAACCTTTACGCTGAGGAGAAAATCCAACGTGACTTTGAGGAGACTAAGAGAAACATTATTATGTATTATGTATTTTTGCTCAGCAACACTGGACATCAAGCACACGGACATATACTGTCTTTCTGTGTATAACAGTTCTATCCAATAACGCATTAGACAGGACTGTTAAACAGAAGGTAAACTAGTGAACACGGATAATGCGAGCACTGTTTGTTTGCTGACCATTCTCTGCGCCGTCAAAATAAAAGTCACAACAACAAGCGCGGCTTACGTCACTTCAGAGCTCTACTGGCGGTGCGAACGCAACCAGGAAAACGTTCCTAAGGGAACCATTAGTTCTCAGGGAACACCCTGGTGTCTAGCTCCTATAACTACCCGGTGCAAAAACCCTTAAAGTGATGCCACCCTGGCTAAGCAACTTCACAACAAACAAGCACAAATAGTTTTTTTTAAAGCAGGCCAAAGTTCCTAATGAAAGCCAAACCAATGAAATCATGGACTGCATTTTTTAATTTTGTTTCCTAAGGTGCACTTACAATGTTAGTAGATTTATTTATTTATTTATTTGGTAACAATAAATAAAGAGATGTTACTTATTGTCTTTTTTACTTTAAACGTGTTGTTCCACTTCAAAATAATGGTCCAGATTGAGTGATTAGTGATCAGAGTAAAAAAAGACACGTTAATGTTCTGATTGGCAATTAATTGTTGTTTGTAATTTGTCATAGTTAGTTATTAATGAGGCTAATCTCATCCAGCAATTATTGATTATTTAAGAAATTATCCAAGTCCTAAATGTGATATTGCTTACTGATTAGTTAAGCTTTTTTTTTTTTATTAGTTGATAGTAGTAGCTGAAGAACTAATTATTTGTCCTGCATTCCTGCATAGTTACCTATTAATAATGGACCATTACTCTAAAATGTTACCTATATATATATATATATATATATATATATATATAAAACGATAATTTAGAAATAAAATGACATTTTCTACGCTGATTTTAGCCCTCTAATATAAACGCCCACTACTACGAACAAGAACAGTGCGACGTTGACTGCTTATCTCGATTTGAATAACATGAACGTCCGGCCGTACATGAGTCAGATTAAAATGATAAACAAACAACAACTGAACAAACAAAAATTGATCTACTACAATTCAGTGGATGGGGATTGTTATTATTATTATTATAACTTGTTTCAATAAAAGTTTACAGTATAACTTGCATTGACCTCCTATATTTCAATGCTCAAGGACGATTTGATTTCTCAATTAATGGTGAATGAACTCTTAATGTGCCATGCAGGTGGTTTTGGAGTGGCTAAAAACCTGAGCGATTGGGCCACCAAAGGCAAGGACTACTCAATCACTCCTGAGATTGAGAAGGTCATTAAAGCTTTCCATCAGGCGAAGAAACCCATGGGCATGTGCTGCATCTCCCCTGTGCTGGCAGCCAAAGCTATCCCAGGATGTGAGATCACCGTCGGACACGATTGCGAGTGTGAGAAGTGAGTTTGGGCAATGTCTTCTAGCAGGGTTTAAATAATAGAGATGATGGTTTAAAGGTGCAGTGTGTCAATTTTAGTGGAATCTAGTGGTGAGGTTGTGAATTGCAACCAACAAAGGTTACTTTGGCCGAAAGGAATAGATGTTGTCTGAGACAGCAGAGAGTAGGCAGTTTCTTTACAAAGATAAATTAGGTTTACTTAATCATTCAATAAAACGATATGTTATTGTGGATATTTTTAATATTATTCACCATTGTGTCAGTGTTTTATTCAGCTAGCTTCTTTCCATGAAGTGACGAAACGCACTCTGGCGTAGTTTGTCCGTTTAGGGCCACTGTAGAAACATGGCGGCGCAAAATGGCTGTTTCAATGTAAGGGGACCCGTGGTGTTTGCAGATAGAAATGGCTCATTCTAAGGTAATAAAAACTAGGGCTGCAACAAAGGATTATTTTGATAATCTATTAATCTAACGATTATTGAAGCGATTAATCGACTAATCGTCGATCATTTCCCCGGCTAATCAGTAGTTTTGGAACGATTATTCAGATTTTTCAGTTAGTTACAACATTGAGTTATACATATTCTTACTATAATATAAAAAAAGAAAATCAGTTCAGCTTTGGAAATAGTTTTTTAATGAACTTTGAGCCAACTAAACAGGTCATTCTCAGATTTCGGTCCAACTAAAATCACACACACATGCTCTCTAAGCATTGTTTAATAGGCCCACTGCTTTTATTAGAACTGAAACAGACAAAGGGACACAAAAATGGTAAAATATTAATCTGCAAATTATTAGAAGTATAAAATTACAATCTTTTTTTTTTTTAGATGAAAATTGAGCTGACAGGGACGTTCTCATTCACCTTTTAATTTACAGTATGAAAAAGAAAAAGTAACTGCCATGATATTCTTCATAACATCTCATTTTGTGAGTCTTCATGATTATGGATCAAAATACAGGCGAGTGATAAGACTATAATACCTAATAGTGTTACA